AAGGGAGGTGTGGAAAGTGTTAGGTATACGCATGGAAGGAGGCAAGGCCAGGGAGTAGGACACAGGATTGACCCTACGCAATACCTTATAGGGGCCAAGGAACCTGGGCGCGAATTTCATTGAGGGGACCCTGAGGCAGAGATTCTTAGAGGACAACCAAACCCTATCACCCGGGACATAAGAGGGAGCAGCACCCCTACGACGATCAGCAAATCTCTTCTGAGTAGCAGTCGCACGAGAAAGAGTAGCATGGACCTGATCCCACATCTTCCGTAAGGAGGTGAGGTGCTCGTCCAAAGCGGGTATTCCCTTGTCGGAGAACACGCCGGGAAGGACAGAGGGTTGGAACCCATAAGCAACCATAAAAGGACTTAAGCCAGTGGACGAATGAGTCACAGTGTTCCTGGCGAATTCAGCCCAAGGAAGGAGGTGAGACCAGTTGTCCTGGTGTGCATTCGTGAAGCAACGTAAATATAACTCCACAGATTGATTCGCCCGTTCGGCCGCTCCATTAGATTGTGGATGATAGGAGGAAGTAAACGACAAGGAAATCCCCATCTCAGCACAAAAGCCCCTCCAAAGCCGAGAGACAAATTGAGGACCCCTGTCAGATACGATATCCTGTGGTATACCATGCAAGCGGAAAACCTCTTTGGCAAATACCTGAGCCAATTGAACTGCAGAAGGTAGTTTCTTAAGTGGAATAAAGTGTGCCATTTTAGAGAATCTATCAGTCACAGTCAAAATTACTGTCATTCCATCGGATGAAGGAAGATCCACAATAAAGTCCATGGATAAGTGGGTCCATGGTTTCTTGGGTACGGATAAAGGCATTAGGAGTCCCGGGGGTTTGACATTAGGGGACTTACACTGTGCACAAACACGACAAGCCTGCACATAATCCACCACGTCTTGCTTAAGTGAAGGCCACCAAAACTGTTGAAGGAGACCCTTGTATGTTTTGGTAACCCCTGGGTGGCCAGCCGTTTTGGCGGTGTGAAATAAAGCTAACAATTTCTTTCTATCTTTTTCTTTCACGTATAAATTACCAACCGGTGTCTCAGAGGGTGCTTGGGTTTGGTATGCCTTGATACCATCAAGGAAAAGAGACGAAATAACTAAACGGGTAGCAGCTATTATCTTAGACGTGGGTGCAATGGGTTCAGGAGTGGGGGCGATAGACTCCAAAGATTTGTATTGTCGGGAGATAGCATCAGCCTTGACATTACGGTACCCAGGCCTATATGTGATAATGAACTGAAAGCGTGAAAGAAATAAGGACCATCTGGCTTGACGAGAGGACAACCTTTTAGCATCAGCTATATAGGAGAGATTCTTATGATCAGTTATAACCAGGATTTTGTGTCTAGCTCCTTCTAATAAGTACCTCCACTCTTTAAATGCCATCACAATAGCTAATAGTTCCCTATTCCCGACGTCGTAATTCTTTTCCGAATCAGACAGTTTTTTAGAAAAGTAACAAAAGGGATGGAGGGGTTCGTTATAGGATAATCTTTGTGATAATACAGCTCCTATACCTGATTCTGAAGCGTCTACTTCCATTATAAAGGGAAGGGAAGGATCAGGATGGTGTAGCACAGGGGCAGTGGCAAATACCTTTTTGAGAGTTTCGAAGGCTTTGATGGCTTCAGGAGTCCAAACCCTGGGGTGCAAACCCTTTTTAGTTAGTTTCGTGATAGGAGAAATGACCGATGAAAAGTTTTTAATAAACCTGCGATAATAATTGTCAAAGCCTATAAATCGCTGTATTGCCTTAAGGCCTTGAGGGAGAGGCCAAGACAATATGGCTTCTAATTTAGAAGGATCCATGCTGAACCCCTGTTCAGAAATGACGTACCCTAGGAATTGTACTGATTTCTGGTCAAATAAACATTTCTCCAATTTACAATAAAGACCGTTCTGTAGCAATCTCTTAAGTACCTTCCTCACATGGGCATGATGTGACTCCAAATCAGGAGAAAATATGAGTATATCATCGAGATAAACCACAGCACAGACATGCAGTAGATCTCTAAGGACATCATTTATGAGGTCCTGAAAGACAGCAGGAGCATTACACAGTCCAAAAGGCATGACTAGATACTCGTAATGCCCACTGCGTGTATTGAACGCTGTCTTCCATTCATAATTTTCTTTTATCCGAACCAAGTTGTAAGCCCCCCTGAGGTCTAGTTTAGTAAAATATCTAGAACCTTTAACACGGTCAAACAACTCAGTAATGAGAGGGATAGGATAAGCATTTTTAATTGTTATAGTATTCAGGCCCCTATAGTCTATACATGGTCTCAAATCGCCCTCTTTCTTGGCAACAAAAAAGAAACCAGCACCAGCCGGAGAGGAGGACCTTCTGATAAAACCTTTACGTAAGGATTCCTGTATGTACTCCTCCATGACCTGGTTTTCTTTCTCAGAAAGCGGGTAGACCTTACCCCTAGGAGGCATCGTTCCAGGTAACAAATTTATGGCACAATCATAATCCCGGTGTGGGGGTAGTTTATCAGCTTCCCTCTTTTCAAAGACCAATGCGAGGTCTGCATACACAGGAGGGACAGACACAGAAAGTGGTTTAGCTGTAGGCACATTAAGTAAACAAACGGGATGTAAACGGGCCATACAGTCTTGTGGACAAGATACCCCCCAGGAGAGTATATCTAGAGAATCCCAATCGAGTACCGGGTTATGCTTAACTATCCAGGGAAAGCCCAGAATGATGGAAGCTGTAAGGGAGTCAATTATTTGGAAGGTTATCCTTTCTTTGTGTAAGGCTTGGGTTTCATGGGTCACCAGAGGTTTATCAAGTGGTCTACCATCTATGGCCTCAATGGCCAAGGGTGTGGCCTTTTGAATCAGATTCAAGGCTGCGGTTTTAGCAAAGTTCTCATCCATAAAGCTGTCTGCAGCACCTGAATCGATCAAGGCTTTAGTTGTTATCATGGTTTTATTGACCAAAAGAGTAACCGTAATAAATGGTCTGGAGATGGACATATGAGGGGAAAAAACCATAACACCCGAGGCCGACCCCTCTCTAGGCCTTAGGTGCTGGAGTTTCCCTGCAAACCAGGACAGTTTCTTCGGAGATGCCCCCTCTTACCACAATAAAGGCACAAACCCTCCCTTCTGCGGTACGTTCTTTCAGCTTCAGATAAGCCTACAGCACCTAATTGCATGGGTTCGGGAGGTGGTTGATTAGGGGGAGGTAATGCTAGCAATGCAGTACTGGGTAAAGCAGGTAACCCCTGTGTATTCATCCTTCTTTGACTACGCCTCTCTCTAATACGGTTGTCAATTAGAATGACATAATCTATTAGATCATCCAGAAGAACAGGCATTTCCCTGGATGCTATTTCATCTAATATGTAAGCGGCCAAACCCTCCTGAAAAGCTGTTATGAGAGCGTCGTTATTCCAGATCACTTCAGCTGCTAGAGTGCGGAATTCAATGGTATAATCCGCTACAGATCTATTACCCTGTCGAACCCTAAGCAGAGCTTTGCCAGCAGAAGCAACCCGGCCAGGTTGGTCAAACGTACGTTTAAAAGCTGTTAAGAAGTCTGAAAAGGACATTGGGGACGTATTCTCCCACATGGGATTAGCCCATGCTAGAGCTTTCTCTGACAAATGGTTAATCAAAAAAGCAATTTTAGTTCTGTCAGTGGGGTAGGAACGAGGATTCATCACCAAATGAATATCAATTTGGTTGAGGAAACCACGGCACAATGCTGGATCACCGCTATAGCGCTGAGGTGGCGTCATGTGAACCACGTGAGCAGGAGCGGGTACTGGATCAGGAATGGGTTCTGGCACAGCAGCAACAGCTTCTTGGACGGCAGGTTGCAAGTGGGCAGTACGAGCCAGTATGGTTTGTAAAGCCTGGGCAAACTGATCCATACGGTGGTCTAAACCATCCATTCTAGCCTCCTGATTCACTAACAGCTGTGGAATGTCAGCAGGTTCCATGGTGGCCCTGTTGTAATGTCACGATTCCGGAACCTAACACGCTAACTGGTCACAGAGAGGAAGGATGCTATACCGGTCCTTAGAGTGGCCGGGCTAAGCACGCTAAGAATAGTCAGGAGACAAGCCAAGTAAAGGGAGCCAGAAAACGAGAGAACGAGAAACAAGCCGAGGTCAAAGGAGTGGAGAAGACAGGATAATCGGAATAACGAGCCAAATAATCAGTAACCAGAGAGCAAGACGAGAACACTACGCTACAGGTATCACAAGACCACAACAGGGCACTGAGGGACAGGAAAGGTAAGTATAAATACCCTTGGTTTAATTCTGATTGGATAACTTCCAATCAGAATTAACAATCACACGTGGGGGATATCTATACCTCCCACTGTGATTGTGGTACTGTTCCTTTAACGCCTGGTCACTCACGTGACCCCGGCGTTTACATAATTCAGTGACCTCCCAGCATGCAGCGTTATACATGCTGCCGCTGGGGGGCGTGGAGGACGCGGGCGGCGAGCGGCAGAGAGGAGACGCCGTTCGCCGACAGGTAAGCAGAGGGGAGACCGCGGGCGGCGATGGACTGAGGGTGAGTGCTGCAAGTGGCGTGCAGCCTCCCCTACTAGCCGCCCGCGGATCCCTGACACGCGCCTAACCCTAGAGATAATGATAACCCTCTACCAGCTAAAAAAGCTACCAATATTATAAATCCTATTAACCTCATACCGCAGACTCTGAGACATGACATAATAGAGGGAAAGGACATTAACTTGGCTTCACTACTGATAGCATCTCAAGACGTTGTAGAGAACAGGGCATACACGTTTGATGATCTGTCAGTAGTAATGAAGTCTAGAGATCCTAGACTAAATAGGAAACTCAACATTCCCGAATTTGTCTTGGCATTCGGTCTATACAGAGACGTGATCTGTACAGCTTTTCCCCTCAGTAGAGAGGAGCTCAACTTATAGCTACACAAAGTGATAGAGTTAGCATATAAGTACGGGGGCTATGCCTTTTACGATTATCACAAGTCATTCACATCCAGATCTGCCGCATTACTGTCTCAATACAATACAATCACAGACTGGGCACAGTTAGATACAGAATTGTTTCTGATGCATTTTGCACGTCTCAAAACTCCTTCCTGCGCCATATGCTCATCGGCAGCTCATTCGATTCATTTCTGTCCTGAAAATTTAGCAATCCCTTCTACCAGTAGCTCCAACACCGATTATCAGTCCACCACTACCCAGAGGGAAGTGAGAGGCAAATTAGGCAGGCCAATTGTTTTTCTGGGTGAAGCACAAGTCTGCAATAATTTCAATGCTGGGGGTTGTAGTTATAGTGCTTGTAGGCTACTTCACGTGTGCTCACTTTGTTTAAGGGCACACGCCAAAAAGATGTGCCCAAACAGATTGTACCCTAAAAAATCTTCCACTCCAATAAACGTACCTAATTTGCAACGTTACCTGTCTAATCATCCTTCTTTACATCTGGTGGAATTTCTCACGGCTGGTTTCACTAACGGGTTTCACACAGGGTTCGTGTCACTCCCCACAGGTATCTTGGAATGCCCCAACCTACAGTCAGCACTCACAGATCCAGACACCATACAAGAACTCTTACAGAAAGAAGTCACCAATGGTTTCATGAAAGGCCCTTTTACAACACAACCTTTCACATCCTGGAGAACAAACCCACTAGGAATTGCCACAGGGAAATTTAACAATAAAAAGAGACTGATTATCGACTTTTCAGCACCTCACTCATCTTCTACACCTAGCCTAAATGCACTAATCCCATCAGAAGACTTTTCCCTGCAGTACGCCAGAATCGATGATGCCATACAAACAATCCTTAATTCCGGGAAGGCTGCCTGGTTCAGTAAATCTGATATTACTAACGCCTTTAAATTACTTCCTATTCATTAGTCACTCTGGCATCTGCATGGAGTTAAGTGGCAAGACTGCTACTATTTCGCTACCAGACTTACCTTCAAAAGTAGCCCCAAGTTATTCGACATATTCGCCGAAACTTTAACCTGGCTACTCCTGAACTTCTGCAGATGTCCAGTAGTCATATACTACTTAGACGACTTCCTCACCATCGAACCACACCCCTGCAGACCACACAGCCTTAATCACATGCTCACTCTGTTCAAAGATTTAGGAGTCCCTGTAGCCCAGGACAAAACAGAAGGTCCCAACACGGAGATTACTTTCCTGGGGATTACACTCAATTCTGTCTCTATGCAGGCCATCCTGCCCCAAGAGAAAGTACATAAACATCTGCATGTCACAAGGCACTTGCACCAGGAAACCGCTACAGTCACTACTCGGTTCACTAAATTTTGCTATGAGAATAATTCCACAGGGCAGGTCTTTCATTTCCAGAATCCTCTCTCTATTGCACGGTCTCCCTGAAGACGATTCCACGACTCCCATAGATGAGTCAGCTAGAGCTGATCTAAAAATGTGGCAGCTGTTCCTATCCTCTTGGAATGGCAGGTCGCTATTTGTTCCCCCCCATTTCTGAAGATTTCCCTGTACTTTGGACTGACGCTTCAGGTATAGGTTATGCAGCCATTTTTGGTAATGAATGGCTATACAACTCTTGGCCTATTGAGACCTCCTCGCTCGAAAATTTCCGTACCACCTCAGCACTATTCGAAATTTACCCTATCGTAGCAGCAACACACACTTGGGGTAAAGAATGGAGGGGGCAGTCAGTCAGATGCTTTTCTGATAACTTAGCTACATGTAATATCATTAACTCAGTCCCTCACGATTATGAATTTGATCAGAAGACTGACATGGTTAGCGGCTAATCTTCAATTCTGCATAACCTGTATTCACGTTCCAGGTGTACAAAATACCGCTGCTGATGCTCTGTCACACGTTAATTTGCAGGAATTTTTCAGACTTCATCCATCAGCAATCCTGCAACCCAGGGAACCTCCAAACTTCATAGACCTAATTATGCGTTCTCTCTTGCATCCTAGTAGGTCACTCGCTCAGGCAGGCTTATCCCTTAATACAAGGAAAGCTTATTCCAGAGCGTATGAACTGTTTAAAAGATTTGTTCGTGGTTACTGTATAATAAATGTTTTTTTCCATTGAAACCATGGTTGCATTTACAATTTTTTTGCCACATTTCTCTTAAATTAGCTTACAACACTATCAAACTCTACTTAATGGGTATACAACACTACATGTTAACCAGCTTTCCCAACAAATCTCCAGTCCTAGCATCCTACCCAGTTAAAAGTGTCCTTTAAGGCGTTCAGAAATTAACAGTACACAATCCCACTAAGCGACTTCCCATAGACAGTATGCTCTTCAAGAGTATCTCCGATGTACTCGACACATCCCCTTTTGAACAAATCACAAAACTAATTATCAAGTCCGTGGCTTACTTAGCCTTCCATGGTTTCTTGAGACCTAAAGAATTTACTGTAGAGAAAGCATCCAACTCCAAGTCATGCCTCTAGAAGAAACACCTAGTTAAAAAACAGGACCACTACATCTTATCTATTACTCATACCAAAACGAGCCAAACAGGTCCACCGGTTGAAATAAAATATTATCCTACATCTACCAAATGGTGTCCTATTCAAGTATTGGATAAAATAGTGGAATCCCAAATCACTTCCAACTCTGATTGCCCACTACTAGCTATTCAAGGGAAGCCCCTAACCACAAAAATTTTTATGCTTTACATTCGTATGTTATTACTCCGGCTAGGACATAACCCACACTCATTCTTGGGCCATTCATTTCCCATTGGAGCAGCCACAGCTGCCTCAGGTAATCATGTACCAATGCACATCATTAAAAATTTCAGTAGGTGTAAATCATCCGCATACAACAGATACATTGCCAATCCTGAGAAAGAAATAAGAATGGCTTTCAGTGAGATGTCTTAATAATGTATTGCTTAATAAACGTATCTGACTTTATGAATCGCTTCTTATATTTTGCCTTCTTTTACAGGTCTAATCTCACGTCAGTTTAGGCACACCTCAACTGACTTTGCTCTTACTAAAACTGCTCATTAATTTGTTTTCCTTATGTCCTCGAAATGTGCCGTACACAAATATATGTATGTATGTGTATATATATATATATGTATGTGTATATATATATATATATATATATGTGTATATATATATATGTAGTAGGCAGGTATCAGCACTCTCGGTATTAAAAGTCCAAAGTTTATTGGTATATAGTTAAAAAAACTATCGACATTTCAGTCCTACATTGAGGACTTTCATCAGGATCAGAATATACATGCAGTGTAAACATACATTTCTTAAATACATGGCAGTATCAGTGAAATTAACTTACCCCAGGTGAACGTAATGCCTGGCTGGCGTTCTATCCTACAGAGTGAGCATACTCCGCCCCCTTGTGACGTCATCACATAGTGACGTGGTGCACATTACCATAGCGACGCAGATCACAGTGGTGTCGCTATGGAGATAAAAAGTAAATAGATAGACATGCCGTGAAGATTGAGTAAAGATCGAAGCCATATTATACTAGTGAATAGAGAGGAAGAATTAAAGCAAAGATGGAAGGTGTAGTTTAAACATACATCTAATTATAATGGTGTGCATATAGAGTATAAGCTCAACTAACAATTCTAGGTATAATTCTTTATAGTAGTAAAGTGACAGGGTTTCAATATCAAACCTGGTGAAATATGAGTTGGATATAGTGATATTAATGTCACCATATATAATATAAAGTGACTATGCTAAACTATAAAGTGCAAAGTGCAAAAAATTATATTAACCTGATGAAAACAGGCTAATTATTAATAATGTGTATAAATATAATTATTATACCAATAGGAATGTGTGCTAAAGAGTAGTGCAAATCTAGTAAAAAAATAAACAAATATACTGCTGATCACAAAATTTAAAAACAACAATCAAGATAGGACGTTCCTGTTACATTACCCCCTCCATAAAAAACACCACAAACCACGACTAAAATAACCGGATGACTGCTAATTGGAGGGACTGCATATGTTGTAGACATATTATCATTAATCTGCCACAATAGTGGCTGCTTATTTTAAATTAGAACATAAAATACAAAGAAAAAGGGGCGCACCTTTAATATAGTATGTATCTAAAAGAATACACACAATGATATATGATAAAAGAAGGTAAAAAATAAATAATTAAGATAAAAAAGTAAATAAAAAGTCCAAGGTAATAGTCCACAACAAACGAAGAGTATTTCTTATAAAGCAGTGATGGTTCTTCCCAAATGGAGGCTTGTGTTCTCAGATATGTGGAGAGAAATGGAGAGAAGATCCAATAATGCAGTATATCAATGTGTATTTATAGGTATATATATGAAATAATTGAATATACTCACAATTTCCAGAGCTTAAATTTAGCTCTGGTATGAAGTGCGTGAAGTGGAATGATCCCCACTCAAGGATATATGGAGTATTGGTTCACCAGGAGTTCCAACCAAAAATTAAAAGAGGGATAAAAATATATAGTGCTCACTGAATATTTGGAATGTAGAAAAAAGAAAGTAAGAAATGTACTCACAATGTGCTGAGCAGACTTCACTGCTCAAATAGTAGCGTATGGGTGGTATAATCCCCACCTAAGGATTCTTTGGCGTTCCTTAATATAGATGGTGTAGATCTAAATAGTCAGGTTTGATCGAAAAATAAAACAAATAAAATAAAAATAGGAATGTGGCTCCACAAATATATATTTTGAGGCCAAAATTCCTTTATTACAATAGTGTAAAATGAATACAATAAAATTCTAAACGCGTTTCGCCACAAAAGGCTTCTTCAAGTACTGTATTGCTAAATCAGGAACAAATATCATAGATAATTAATAAACAAATACAAGCCGGATTATTTGGTACCACGAGCTCAGGTTATATTAACTCATAACAGATACCATAGAGATAACATAGATACTTGTAAAAACGAGTGGTAGGAGATAGTTTCATTAAGACCTCTCAGGGCCTCAGTATCCAATTCATGGATCCAGAAAGTCTCTCTGTTTAGTAATTTCCTGCCCTGATCACCTGCTCTTCTTGATAGAGGGACATGTTTGATGGCAACAAATTTTAACGTGGCTAATGAATGTTTCTTGTCAAAAAAATGTTTTGCCACAGGTTTGTCGGACATTCTATCGATGCTAGAACGATGTCCCCTAATCCTGCCGTTTCCGTCTTTCCAACGTACACAAGTCCAGATGGGCACACGAGTTTATATATAATATGTGA